GTAACCTTTGGTAATCAACTACATTTTCCACATACATAGAAATTTTTGAAACTTTATTTAAAAAAACCTAAACCATAATTCACCACACTATAGACACTTTTTGACAAAAATGAAAACTTACGACTTTGTTACCCAATGAGAAGTGTTCTAATATAGACAATGGGTCGTGTCTCATATTATTTGTTATAGTTTTATTATTCATTATTTTCACTTGACTCGCATAAATAATTTTGTTCGAAGAACATTTATATGCAGTTGTACTTCGCAGCACTTCACCTGCAATTTGCAATTTCTAGTATTCTGTATAAACTCCAACAAGAATCCGGTCTCAAAATAACACAACCTTCACATAAACATGTGTTTCAAAAAAGAGCTTCTCGAAAGACCAAGCTCTCACCTTATATACATTAGCCCTAGAACTCCAGAGCATTCTATATTAAGTTTTCTTATTGGTCACCTTACACCATAATTAACCAGAAGCTTCCAAATATTACTCTTGGATTCTACATGGTGTCATGTGTTCCTATAATTACCAATGTGGTTTACACTTGTTTGTTTGGTCAAATAAATGCAATTCTAGAATGTTCTATGTAATAAATATTGATTTGGATTCTTGTTTATAATTCCAAGTAACACCAATATTTCTAGTTTTTTTCTCAATAGAATGGTTGTTATTTGGTCCCTAGTGACTGATCTTTTAAAATGAGCATTATTAATAATATTGTATTTATTTCTTCCAACATCAAGAGTACAAAACATACAGAGGAAGGTCAGAGGAAGGCAGAACAAGTTCCTATTACCAAATGGTTTCATCTGTCCAAAAACAGAAAAAATGAAGACAAAAAATAAACATATAAATTACATTAATTAATTAGTATTAATTAAATCTTTGATTTTATTTTCAATATATTATGAAAAAAAAATGAAATGTAATATGTATGTTTACTTATGAAATTTGTTGAATAAAGAAATTGAATTGAATTTGAAATGATGTTTTTTCTTTTCTTTCCTGATTTAACTACAGAAAGTATACAATGAGATTAGTGTAATCTGCAATAAAATCGCAGTACTTTAAGTTGACGCGATACCTATAACCAGGGAATTATAACAAAAGTTAAAATATGTCACAATACGAAATAGCACCTTGGCAAGGACTCAGATTTCTACGCAAAAATATATTAATGCAACCACGGTAACTGAAAAACCTAGTTGTGTCATCAGTTGATATAACAACAGAAGCAGCAATGACAATGAGATTTGAGTAGCATTAAACAGAACCTTTTATTAAACTTTTAAATGCTTGCCGTTCCAAGCACTGGGTAGTGAACCCAAAGAAAGTTCTGACTCTTATTATTATATGCAAATTTGGCATTTAAAAAATTATTTTAAGTGGATTTTATTTAAATAGAACTTCTAAATATACTTATTTGGTACATACTTCTATTATTTAAAAGAGGTAAAGGAAAGAAACAGGATGCGAATATTTGTTACTTGGCACTGTAACAAAAAATGATGCAATTCTAGGAATAAGACAAACATTTCAAAAAACTTGAGACAGCAGTATAAATTGTAGCAGGCAGCGACAGGAAAAATAAATAATTTTTTCTCCTTGGCCTTAAATTAATTACAATTACTTATCAGTTTATCATAAATTAATCTTAAATTAATATTTTTAAAATTTACATAACTGTGTTGGCTTCCAGTTTTCTTATTAACACTTGAAAACCTGTTAAATTAATGACAATGAGAAGGCACAGCATGTGAAATGAGCATTAAGTGACAGTGGCGTAGCTAGAGGTTATGGCGCCCGGGGAAAAAAAGTAGAAAATTGCGCCCCCCTTCCCCCACCCAATTATAATTATAATATTTTGAAATTAATTGATATTGGTTGTATATACTTTAAGCATATTCGTATTGTACGTCCATATCATGCACTGTCTAAATAACATAATTTAAACCCGAATAACTATTATTATTGTAGCTCTTGTATGCTGGGATGGCGCCAGTATTTGCCCAAGGAGGTTCCGAGGTTCGGGTAGGGGGAAGGGGCGCGATGCCATAACGAGGGGGAAGGGCGATGCCCTGACGAGGGGGAAGATTTCCTTGACGAGAGCAAAGTGGGCATGATCGAGCATCGCTTAAAACCTTCTGAAAGTGGCCTGGAGGGGAGGGGGACTCTACTAACTTATAGTAGAGTCTTGTAAGTTGCTGAATTTTTAACATTGTTTAATCTTGCAACAGAATTTTGCGTGCTTTTGTATCAGCAAATAAGTTAATAAGGTGATCTATGGTAGCAACGTTGTCTGCTTCATCACGCTCAATACTAAGTAGTGCCAAAGCAGATAGTCTCACTTTTCCCATCGTGGCTCTGAGATTTGGCAGGATGAGCTTTAGTCATGTAGTCGTTGCAGAATAGAATAAAAAAACAATAAAAACACCTACATTCAGATTCTTATTATTAACTGGAAAATATTCATGCCTGGCGAAATACATCAATTTCATCATGTTTTTTTTAAAAGTGCATATTTTTTTACTCTCGTTCTCCCATTTCAGCACCCCCTCAAACCCGGCGCACGTGCCCCCCTTGACCCCCCCCAGCTACGCCACTGTTAAGTGATAGATTGAATTGCTCATTATGCTTTTGTCTTTACATGAGACCATGAGACAGTATGAACAACAAAGAGATCAATGAATATGCAAGGACAGCCATTGTAGACAAATATAAAACAGGATGTAAAATCCACAAGACCAATAACTGGCAAACACAATCTGTTATTCACAAACAAACAAGTTTTAGAGCCTCACGCACACAACATGACAATGAGTTTCTTAGGTTTAAAGTTTAAAGCCTGAGATCATTATACAGCCCTGGTGTTCAAACTCTGGTTTCTGATCAAAGTAAAGGTCGCTATCTATATTTTGTCGGGTCACCTAACAATTATCAAGAATTTAAAATAACTGGTAAAACTTAAATATGAGCTAAGTAAGGAGAATATATCAAGTATGTGAGTACATTGGATTACTGATTTCGTCACAAAGCTGTTTATTTTCGATTTATTATAGCTATTTCATTATTACAATGAAAATTGTCATGTTCATGCTTTTTAACTTTTCCAAACATTTATACCAGGACAACCCCTTTCCCTTTCCTATTTTTCGCTGTGCACATATATGGTGACCCTGCTACTTCAGCGACCAAGCCTTCATCCACTTGGTTTCATGAATCTTCCTCTTTGGATCAGTTCTGGATCTGGACCTTGGCCACAAGATGTAATTTGTTTGCATGATGTTGATTATGTATATTCGCAGGCCATAGTTTGAATAGCATATTAATAATGCCACAGTCATGGAACCAATGTTAATTTGGAATTTTAATTACTACTAGTATTCACACAAATATTTGACCTCATCTATTCTCAAAATATAGTAGTGATGATTTAGTATATGACTGACAGTACACTGTTAGATAATCAATGAGCAGAGATCATTCAAAAAGAAAAAAAATAAAGCTGGGGCACTGAGTATTATGTTTATATATTGATCAAAATGTGGGAGTTGGAATGGAGAGGGAGGGGATAGAAGTTGAGATGGTACATGCCCTGGTCCCCTCTCGGAAAATCTACTAATGACAAACTGCAACTTGCAAACAATACAAAACTGACGTCTGACATCATATGAAATGAAAGGGAGTAAATAATATCTGTTGAATATATAATGAAGAGTTTTGGAAAAATACCGAACGTTTTGCAATTACATCTGTGTGGGTCCATTATGAAGGACTTTAGTTTCGAAAGAAAGACCTGCCTATTTGTTTACTCAGGAAGTACTGTATGGGAAGATAACTGGATTATAATTTCTTACATAATGAAGAGTATCTCATGTTTCTTGAACAAGATTAAAAAACAATAATAACAATTATGATGATAACATAATAATAATCTACATATTTGAACAGCACCTGAGTTGTACAGCATAAATATATTCAGTTTTACAAAATACAAAAAAAATTCCAAAATTATAAAATTGAGATTACACCATTTCTAAAAAATGGTTATTAGTCAAAAGAAATGAAGCTGCAAAGAGAGGCATTCCATAAAAGTTGAAAAAAGTTATTAAATTTCAAAAATCAAATCCTTTTATTTAATACAATAAAGATGTATGTCTACTTACAGACTTGTCTGTCGGTTGTAAACACATGTATATCCATTGGTCGTTTATCAAAATTCTGTGCAAGAGTGACCTCATTGGCTCCGGTATGTTTCTCCGCTCTCAGAACTGCTTTTAGTGTCCAATCAGTCCAGTAGATATAGTTTCCATACAGAGTGAGGGCAAACGGTTGCACTGCACGCATAACAACAACCTCACGTTGCGTCCCATCAAGGTTGGCTCGTTCAATACGATCGCTGTAACAAATTAATGCAGACAATGCCAGTTTTTTACAAATATTTCTTTTTTCACATCCAAATTGTTAAATGGTACCAGCTGGGGTTTACATATAAAGTTGCCGATTTAACCAAATGTATTTTAGTTTACATAACAATTTTTACCCCCCTAAACCAAACAATCTTCTCCCTCCTTGATACATTCCGGGGCTTATGCCATTGTTTTCCTGATCGGAGGCCATTGATAGCACTTCTGTTGGACAAGTCAAACCTCCTATTGGCTAATTTCTAGAGCCAGCATTACCCAACAGTGAAGTAAGTACTCCCATCAATTACAGGATGGAATGATAGTCTATGAACTTTATCAACCTTAGGGAGTGGAGTTGTTATGCTACAAAAAAAAAAAAAAAAAAATTAGTGTGTCATAGGATTTGAACCCAGGACCCCATCAAGCTATAAATTCATAACTAAAATGGTCAGTGCTAAATAGTAGTTACAATACCAGAAATTAATCAATATCCAAATTAAATTATTCACTCAACTACCATTACTATGTGCAATTAAACTTCAGTGTTTACTATGATACTAATAACAATAACAATAAAATAAGTTTTTTTGATGATGCCATCATTGACTTGGTCAATAAAAAGTTAAATGTTACATGTCCATCATCTAAACGTATGTACCTTGATCTTTTTTTCCTGTTCAAATGTGTGAATTTGTTTGATTGTAACCTTATCTCGTATTTTATACTTAAAGTCCTCGGTCGTCTTCGTCAACATGATTTATATTCTGTTCAGTTTTGTCGTGTTAATGTCTGTAAAATGGTTTTTAGGTTGTATAATGCTTTTGTTACAAAATGTCCTGAAGTTGATATATTTTCTAATTCTTTAAATATGTTTAAATGTCACATTACTAATTATATTTCTCATTAGTGTTGTGTGTTTTAAGTGTAATTTGTAAATATTTTAAGAGTTATTTAAACAACATTTTAATTGTAATTTTAAATAATTTTAAATAATTTACATATTTATAGTAATTATATCAATATTAATTATAATTATAGGAATAATAATAATAATCTTTTTATATCTTGTGATTTAATAGCTTGGATTATATTTTTATGTTAATTGCAATTTGGACGATTGCTGAAAATAAAATATATTTTCTAATTCTTTAAATATGTTTAAATGTCACATTACTAATTATATTTCTCATTAGTGTTGTGTGTTTTAAGTGTAATTTGTAAATATTTTAAGAGTTATTTAAACAACATTTTAATTGTAATTTTAAATAATTTTAAATAATTTACATATTTATAGTAATTATATCAATATTAATTATAATTATAGGAATAATAATAATAATCTTTTTATATCTTGTGATTTAATAGTTTGGATTATATTTTTATGTTAATTGCAATTTGGACGATTGCTGAAAATAAAATTTAAAAAATAAAAATAAAATAAAATACTATGAAATAATGCCTTTTATCAGAGTTTGTTTCATATTACAATATTATGATTACATAAATGTACTTTTTGGCTTTTACCTGTTTAGAACAATATTTTAATGTTTCATATAAACTTACTGGTAAGCATCAGCCCAGTAGAGCTTCAATTCCTCATAGTCAATGGTGAGCCCATTTGGCCAGGTGATGTCAGTATCGATAACTGTCTCCCTATAATGCCCTACTATTGATGCTCTTTCTATTTTAGGTTGTGTTCCCCAATCGGACCAGTACATTCGTCTAATAAATAAAATTGATATTTGTCATATATAACTATAGTTTGATATACTTTTTCAACAATCATTATATTTATATAATGACAGTAACGTCATTAAGAATTATAAACACCATCATTACTAGCAGCAAAAGAAACCTCATCATCACACACCACCACCTTCACATTAATCAACATCACAGCTACCATTACCAGCATCACCAACTCCATTATTACTAGAACCAACATCATCACTACTGCCACCACTATTACCAACTCCATCACCATTATTACCAACACCGTCATCCTATCACCAACACCATCATCACTAGAACATTCATCATCACTATTACCACCATATTCATCGTCAACATCATATCAACTGTCAACATCAAAATCACAACCAGCATCAACAGTATCACAAACACCGTCAAAATTCAAACCAACATCATCATCACCAACACAACTTTCATCACCAACATCATTAATACTACAACCACTATCACCAACACCATCATCACTAGAATATCCATCATCACTTCCACCACCACATTCATCGTCATTACCATAAAAATCACAAACAGCATCGACACTATCACAAACATCATCAATATTCAAATCAACATCATTATCACCAACACCACTTTCATCACCATTACCATCATCATCATCACTGACATCATCATCATTACTTGAACCAACATATCATCATCAACTTCATTATCACCAACTGTATTCAAAACTTACCCAGCACATGGATCAAGAACAATTGCTCTTGGTTTGTCTGCTCGAATGATTAATGCTGTGTTCCCTCCATCAATGTCGCATGCAGAGATTGTACCAGCCGCTCGATCAGCCCAGTAGATTCGTTTGTGCAGCCAATCAAACGCAAGGCCTTCTGGAGAGCGTAGGCCTGATCATGAAAAAATGTGTTAAAATGTTAACAAAGATAATAAGTATAACTGTTGTATTTATGTATTTTTATGTTTTCTTTAGGTTATTCAGTTGTTAAGATAATGGTAGCCTTATGGTAGATTTTTTTTTACTTGCTTTCCAACTTGTTAATTTTAATTTGTTAATTTTTTGGTTCTTGCCTTCACAGACTTGTAGAACAACTTTAATTAAAACAAGTTGTGTGTTAAAATAAAGCTAATTATATGTGCTATATACTACAGTAAATGTTATAGCATCAAGTCACGGAGAAAACACTGTGATTTGGGAACCACAACTGGTGGTTGATTATGTCAATGATAGTAATGGCAATATTGTTAATAATAATGATGATAATGGTAGGGCCAGTGATGATGTTGATAATTATAATGATGGTGATGTTCGTTGATTCACCATGCTCAACATTTGAGTTACTGTTGCCTTTGGTCTATTATTTTATGAGCCCATTTCCTAATTTACTTATAACCTGAGCCTTTTTACCATTACTACGTGATAGAATTGTCACAGGGTCTCCTGAGCCGTCAGAATTCACCCACTTGACGGTCTTCCCTCTGGCTTCTGTGAAGTAAATTCTACTATCCTGGTAGTCAAAGTCGAGAGCGACAGCTTGGTTTAAGTTTCTGATTGCTGGAATTGGAGCCGAAGTGTCCGTCTTATCCAGATGAAGGCTACGAATTTCATTGTCTTTAGCAAATACCAAGTAGGTTGATGGTGCTACAAGATAAATATTTGTGAGCTTAAAGTAACTAAACACCTTCATGGGATATGTAATGCATATATATATAAAACACATCTAGATGTGTATAAGAGATCTCTTCTCTGTTAATGCACCCTGTTAATATGTCTAGTATTAACCTACCCGAAGCAGCAATACATAATATAAGGCTGTTGGTACATCTAAAAATAAATATGTGTGCCATGATCTATATGGAATGGCAGGATACAAACTCTATGTATGTATGCTTGCATTGTATTTTATTTTATTGTATGTATGTATCTTGAAAGATTTTTTTAAGCTACCTACTTGCACATGAGGTGCCATCATCCTGAAGTTGTCCATGGGCGCAACCACATTGCCGGCTGTTTCTATTTGTATTTTGCAGTCGAAAGCAGAGCTGCTCACATCCACCATTTTGCACGCTACACAAATTTCCTAGAAAAACAAGATGTCTTCCTTAAATGCCTGACTAAGTTATACATATTCTAGGATCAGCATTTTTGGGGTTAAAAATTATATCTTGTCTGAAACAATTCTATTTTTTGTGGGCTGTGCATTTTGAAGAACAATTTCAATCAATATAGACATCATCACTTATTTGTATTTTCCTCTTGTATTATTTCTGTCAATGATTCTTCAAATTTCCATTACCACTGTCTGCCTGCTGTAACATATCGCCATACACTGCAACTTTATTTGCTGCAGCAAGTTTGTCAGCTAACACCACCGGCGAATTGCTTGGATCTTTTGATGCTCTATAGAGTCTCTTGTGAGCGAAGTCGGTCCAATACAACTGAAAACAAAATAATATAATGGTTAATTGTTACTTAAACACAATATTTTTCATTATATACAAGCAAAAATTAGTTACTTCATGAATATGTCATGTATATGCCAACTACCCTGGTAGTCAAAAATATGTTGTTAATTTGTATCTCAGCTGAATTTAATTGCTATATATACAAAAGTACTGTACTGAATTGTTATTGTCACTGGCTGTCTCAAAACATGTCTGTCTTTAAATTATAGGCTTATACTACGTTATCTTTATTCAAATAATTTATACATAAAACAGCATCTTACAGAAATAAATCTGAAACAAAACTGAGCTGTTAAATATTTAAAAAAACAGGAATTCACAGATACACCACATCAAAACAGCAGCGATAAAAATGTGTATTAAAGTGTTCTATTTAATGCCTGGTTGTGTTTATCCTAAACAATTAGTATCATATTTATTTGAAATGCATACAATATTTTTATAAGATAAAACCCTTAAAAAGTGATATCTTGTAATTCAACTAATGAATAGTTTGAAAATATTAAATCATGATGACTTGCACACATTTTACCAGTCTCATACAGCATTATATCATACTCATTAGTGTATACCATTTTCTTTAGTTACAAAGTTCACCCTCCAATTCAAGACCAGTTTGGGACTTAAAAATTTGGGGCACTTTTGGGACTCGTGTTTAAATATTTAAGATTTTTAGCTTAGAAGGATGAATACCACTTTTACACTGCAAGCAAAACTCCGGACACAACCCGGGATTTTACAATACTCGGGCTAGAAACTCCCGAGTTGTGGTTAGTGTAAACAGCAAAAAATACCACCTGGGTTACCAACCATCCTGGGTTTGACATTCAGTGTTGAACAACACAGGTACATCCAAGAGTCACCAGTGTAAACAACACCAAATTTAATTCCGGAGTTATGCCTTACGAGGTGCGTACTGAATTCATGGTCAGGTAGGCCTATTTTGCTAGCAACAGGCTAGGCCAACACACTTTTAAAATTAAACATTCTGCGCTCCCTCATAGACTTGATAACAAAACTGCTGATTTAATTCACGTAATTTAAAAAAAATCTGCAGATAAATTGCTTCAATAATTACAATAATTGCAGCTTCGTCACGAAAAGGAACTTGAACAAAGTGATGATCACTATAGCAAAAAAAAATTGAGGGCAGTACTTGACCTGCGTTCATTGCCGGTGTAGAATGGGATCAACTTGGGATCAATGCAGACCTTTCGTTCGATGTAAATAGAAATGCATCCAGTATCATTCCGGAATTAACGCGAGCTTATTCTCACCCTGGCAGTGCAAAAGGGATAACAGAAAGTTCACCAATAGAGGGATTCGGCAATGATTGTTTACAAGCGTTCACGTGACCTAACTTGGGTATACATGAAAAACATTACAGTGCGATAGCATAGGAAAAGATAATGTTATGGTTGCAAAAACAACCACCCACTGTTAACATGAGAAGACAATGGTTAGGAAAGGCAATACAATTGTTCAAAACAGTGTTTATTTAAACTTATCCTAGCATTCTCCTTGGATTATATGCTTTGAAATTTAAGTGATCCTTCATAAACCTTAGCTGGCCCTAACATCGCAGTGTAGTTTGCGGGTCGAAGACCATCATGCATACCTAACCATGCCGTAGTGCAGGGGCCTGTTGAAAAAATCTTAATGTTTGCAGCAAATATTATTTACGCCATTAGAAAAACATTAAGGCAAAATTCGTAAGTTTAATTTCCAATCAATTTGGTATAGTTTACTGGGAAATATGATGATCTTTACAGCAATAACAAGGGACGAGACGACCGCCATAGCAATATCCATGTTAAACACCGCTGTGCCAGTCGAATGTTTATATCCAACACCCAAGTTAGGTCATGTGAAGCCCATCGCCGAATCTGTCTATTAGAGAGCAAACTGTATTTTGAACTTCAATTATTGGTAGTATAGTTTCATCTAATCTAAACTGTTTTGCATTTATTGTGATTATTAGCAATGATGTTTTACAAATTACTGTTTATCAAAAGGCAGTTTATATATTATCTTACATAGTCTTTATAAATTGCAATTCCAGATGGAGCAGTTATGAATTCTTGAACAAAAGTTCTTTCTGTTCCGTCCCACTTCATCCGCTGTATGGTATCAACGCGGCTGTCACTCCAGTAAACATCATTTGTGACATAGTCAACGGCGATATCTGTTACATAACTGATTGTAGTATTCACCAAAACAACGCGATCTTTTGCGTTCAGGCTTGCACGTACTATTTGCCTTATTTGGCCATTATCTGCATAATATAGGTATCTGTGTAAAAATACAAAATAGTATATTTAACTAGATATTTAATATCAAATAGAAAAAAATTATATTATTTAACATTTATACATTGGTACATTTGTGCAACTGTGTATTCATATTATACAGGTATTAACTTTGTGTATTTTATATATGTATGTATATGTACAGTATCTGTCTCTTATACACATCTAGATGTGATTTATTTATATTTCATTAAAGAATCTCTTTTGAGATCCAGCAGGCCGCCACTCATGCACGGTAGAGATTGCATCTTTAGATCTCTCCAAATTCGCGGACTAGTGCTGTCTCGTAAGAATTTAGTAGGACGCGTAAAGAATGACAAAATATTCGCTGTATCTACTGGAACCAAGCCACATAGCTTGTATTCCACTATTTGCATTCACACCTGGGCTGTGTATACTTATTGCCTTGGTTTGGCTCTGTAATCATTAGTGGTCGTGGGACTGCTTTGGGCCCTACCTAAACTGGTCAAACATTTTGTTTGGGTCTATACCCCAGCTGCACTGATGAGGCCTGGAAGGCCGAAACGGATCCGTCTGCAGATATTGGGATTCCTTCCAGTGGATACTTAGTTTATTTTGTCATTCTGATCGGATTTTCTCTACTGTTCCGTTTTAATTACATATATATATATATATATATATATATATATATATCCTGTGAAAAGACAAGTGCATACAAGGTAATTTAGTAAATAAAAGATTTGCAAAGTGCAGTGACAAAGTCAAATGCATATTACTTTGTTCCTATTGCATGAATTTTTATTGTTCTATGCTTTGATCAACTTTATAAAATCTCCTCAATGAATAAATTGAGAGTTTGTTACAATACTGTTTGAAAAAACTATTACGACAACCTTGGTATTGCAGTGCAAGCGCACTTTTTGTGAATAATTGTCTTCTGTCTTTTCAAGAATTTATGAGGAAGTCCATTTATAGTTTTTCACAAAGGTTTTTTATGAAGTGAAAAACCCCTATTGAGTTACATCAATGAATATTTTCTTAAAGATTCCTGTTTGTCCAGAATATAGAGAGATCTTATACTGTAGTTCACAAACTGATGTTGCTTTTTTTTTTTTTCTTTCTTTTTCTTCATGTAGACTGCTTGCTTAGTCTTGTATTTTTTTAATGTATTTCTATGGATATGAATTCCAAAATAAAGAGAAAATATACCCGACTGAACAAATAGAAAATGATATGAATAATTAACTATCCATTTAATAAGTACAGTCAAGTCGTCAGATTATCATCATAATCATCCTTATCTATATTATATTATAAGGTTTACTGTGTACTGTTTTTTTGTTTACTTCTTTATACTTTTATATATACTTTAAAATGTTCATTTTATGTAGAGTTTTTGTTATTGGCCAGGGGTTTAGTGATGGCCACTTCAACTGTTGGGCTATAGCCCATTTCATTTCTAGTACCATAATAACACTACCATAATACACACCCATGATAATCAATATCATAGCCAACACCCTCCTCATATTAATTATTACAACCATTATCACCTTCATCACCTCACTTTCACCACCATCTTCATCCTCATTGCTATCGATACTAAGGTATACATTTAAATTCTTGTTTGCCTGTCTTACCCAAGATTTGGATTGACAGCGATAGAGGAGGGTGACGTATCTGGAGTCTTCCAAAGTACAGTCCTGTAGCTCCCATCTAAGCGACTCATCTCAATGTAGTTCTCATATGTAAAGGAACTAGTCCAATATAAATTACCTTTCAATAGAACAAAAAAAAATATATGACTCCACACTCCGTTAGTAAGCTCAAAAAAAAAAAAAAAATTTGACAGCGTGTGGGTTGAACTGCTGACCACAAGTTCAATAACCAGAATGGAAACCACTAAGCCAAACCACCTTCCCCAAAACTCCGTTTTCTGAGACTCCTCTAATTCAATACCACTTTTTCAAAGTATGAGCTAACAATCTTCAACACAGTTGGCCCCTCCGAATTTGAGGCAACTTTTGTGACCTGAAATGTGGGGTTTTCTGGGGGGGGGGGGAGGGTAGGGTTGGTGAAAAAAAAGAAATCTATGTAATTTTTAGAGAATTTGGGACTTTAAAATCAATTAAACCAGTCTATTAAATTCCTAGAATGTCAGTATATCTAGGAGCTTCTCCCTCCAGACCCCCTCTGAGGGGTTCGGGGTTGCCCTCGTCCAGCCTACTTATGCTATCTTTAAGGAAATCGGCAGACATTTGGCTCCTCCGTCAGGGAAAATCCTTGCCACTGCTTGCAAGGTAGGACTCACTAGATCTAAACATGCTTGCCGATACCTAAAATGATGTTCATTGGTTCTTGGGCAGGTTCTGCTATAGATGCAACACAGATTTAAGTCTTGTCCAGACTATCATATTTCATTATAACAAAAACATGCCACATGCCTAAATATATTCATGATGACATCACATCCTGACCATATATAGGAACATCATGACTATATATGGGCATACAACAATTTGTTAGTGAGCACAGAGCTTTACTGACCCGCTTGCCAATCAACAGCTAGTCCTCCAAAGCCGTGTTGAAAGCTTGAGTCATCAATGATAGTTTCTGGAGTGCTACCATCCAGCCTCACCCTGTTGATTTTTGAGTAGCTGTCAATGTAGTACATGTAACCACTGGCAACATGAACATCTATCTCACCAAAATCACTGGAATCTGTAAATATGGGAACAAAAAGGCACACCTTATTGTAATTTAACTTTAAGCCAGATTTATGCTCTTTAATTTTGTCTGCAAGGCTGCTGACAACTAAAAAGTTGTCTGGCAACAAAATTATGCAAAGAATATTGGAAAGAAATTTATTTATCTGACTATAAAAATGTTTTCTAATTTTAATTTGCAATTTGGAAGTTAATAAATCAATTCAAATCTTTCAGTGAAAAAAGTATAAACCCATCTTACCTCCTGTTGTGATGGGGGTCATGGCATCGTCATGGATGCCGAGATCAAGGCTAAATCCCCTCAGGTAACTGACCTCAGAAACTATTACCAAGTTTGACATGTCTAAAGAAGATATAAGATGAGAAGAGGAAAAAATTCATACACAAATTATTAGAGGGTATGAAACTCTGAAGAAAGTGATACAAACCACTAGGATAATCTAATGTTCAAACTATATTCATTCATCTTCAGGAATAAATTTATTAAGATGGAGCAGTGTTGAGAATATAGAATCACCATTTCTTGCACCACTAATACGAAATAATGATTAAAACATATTTTTAAAAAAATATTTTTATAAATTAAGAGCAATATGACAACATATACTAAATTTTTTAAAAAATACAAACTTTTGCATGTCGTTCCATCATTATTCAAAATGGAGCCAGTTTCACAGGCACAGACTTTGGAACTGACACCTGTAATCAAACATAACTGCTCACAGCCCCCATTGTTGTTTCCGCACGGGTTGTTGGTCTGCCCTTCTCGCGTGTACACACGCATTCCACGTATTCCTACCACATTCCTTCGCATGACTTCTGCATCGGTTGGATTCGTTACTGACAGTCTCTCTATTTTCTCATAATTATCATCTTTTGAGAAAGCAAAATCAAATGACATACATATCAGGGATACTAGCAATGGATAAATATTATGCATTTATATCGCGTAACATACTTGGATAAGTGAAGTACCAGACCTCTTAATTCAGGTAGAAATCTTAGGGTCTTTTTACTGTTCTCTAATCCAAAGCGATAATCCTGGCATTTCTGGTATATTTCCTACAGTCCAATTATCATTTGCAGAGATTCAGGCAAGATCTGGTTTCTATCAAATAGTCATTCATTGACAATCCAACAATAAACAATAATCCACTGTATCATATAGCCCTAGATTATACCAAATCTTTGGTGGAGAGGGGTAAAAATGCTTTCCAGTATTGTTTTAATATTTATGTTTTAATAAAAATGTTTTCAAGCAATGGCACAATTACATAATGAATAAATACTATATGTACAGTATGTAAAAATTCATAACCAGCAGGTGTTTGGAAATTCATGTTTGCTTGTTTACAAACTTTCAACGAATTTGATGATGTCAGCGTCACAGATGTATAGACACACATGCATGAACAACTGCAAAAGGTTCCTATTGCTTTACAGCATAGAAACCAATAAGTAAAGAATGTAGAGGATGGCATACAAACAATGGAGCTAATGGCCCTGTCACACCTTGACGATTTAGCCAGCGCAATTCGACGTATAAAAAAATTGGCGAATATGCTGGCGTACGTCGAATAAGTTTTTGGTAAGTTTCGTATAAGTTAAGAGCACGCTGAAGCATGCTGGTATACGTCCTAATACGGCGAAAATATAAAACTTGTTAATGTAACGTATGCCAGCGTAAGGCTTGTACGTTCCACATACGTGGGTAGTAGTTAGAGATAATTTCTAGCGTACCCAAAACGTTCTAACCTATGAGTAATGTGCTTTAAACTTATATGTAACATTTTTTATAGGCTATGTCCCATGATTGTCGGAGATACACTGCCGCGCTGTGCATAAGGTAGACTATCGTTGGGCATAAGTTGTGAACGTCAGCAACACGCTAAGCATTCGTTGGTATACGTTTTCTGTAAGTTACGAAAACGTTTTACATAACTTACTAATACGTTATGTATATGTCCAATATGTTATGAATACGCTATGTATGCGCCGAAAATTGAAAAAAGACATCGATATTTCAGCATATGCTAGCGTTTTAGAGAAATTTTGATACGTTGGCATACGCTGACTAAATCGTCAAGGTGTGACAGGGCCATCAGATACAGGACAGGGTACAAGCAGTAAATTTAAAATTGTAGGAAGCGTACAAGCACTGTAAGATAGAGGATGGAAGTACTAACTAAAATAAGAATAGATAGTTATGCCCATTGTTATTCTATATAAATTAAATAGTTAAAAAATGTAGTTTACCAGCATAATATATATAGTTCTGGTAGACAGCAATTCCGCGTGGATTTAAAAGATCACTACGAACTGGTGTCTGATTACTTCCATCCACATTACTTTTCCATATCTGTGCAAACAGGAAAAACAGATTAAATATGTTTATGTTATTATGTGTGCCTACATACCTATGCCAATATGATTTTTAAAAATATCTTTTCTTTTGATAAGTAAAATAAAAAATGGCATTTTTTCTAAAGTTTCCAATTTATTTATGGCTGTTGGTGTTCTTACAGGAAAAAAAAAACAAGTTTACAAAAATACAATTCAAAATGAATATATGATTATACTTATATAATACTTCTAAATATACTGTACATATATGGAAAAAGTAAATGAGTAAACTCACAGATCCAGTGCTTAGTGTCCAATATAGTGTCTGAGATGAAACATCTATAGTGATATAGAAAATATTCTGTACATTTTGAGTTGTCACAACCTGAGGGTTGCTACCATCTCTCACAACGCCCATTATCTTGGAGATTGCACCATTATCTGCCCAGTATAATTTTCTACAAAAAAGACAGGATGTAGTTAGACGTTTAAACTATTGCTTTTACCAGTCTCTGAGTAAAATAAATTATGAAATAATGCAGTTGGCGCAACGTTTGTGGCTCAGACTCAACCTTGAGGTGTTGGGGGGGGGGGGTGTTGCAAACCTCGCTGTGCAAGTCGCTTGTGTTCTTGAAATAATGCAGTTGGCGCAACGTTTGTGGCTCAGACTCAACCTTGAGGTGTTGGGGGGGGGGGGTGTTGCAAACCTCGCTGTGCAAGTCGCTTGTGTTCTTGGCAAGACACTTTATTTATTTTGTTTTAAAAACACTTAAAAAACAGTACACGGCTACAAACAATCCAAATTCACAATATCATTATGAAAATATACACATACACGGGGTATATATATGTTTGTCTCGCTCTACAAATGGGTACCGGCATATGCTGGGGAGGTAAAAAAGACTGTAGGGGAAGTGGCAAACACCCCAAAGCCTTGCATACTCTGCCCCAAATGCCAAGGAAAGAGAGATGGGCACTCCGGCTTATAAGGGCCAGAGTGAAATAAATAATAAAAAATAAAAATATATGCAAATAAACTGGCCCTTTTAAATGCATGATTTAAATTATCAAGCAAAAAGAAATGAGGGTGAAAGTGGTAATTATCATGGACATCTGGTGCATAAGAAGGAATGGTTTTATTATTTTCAGAGAATTTTCTGGTTAAGGGAACAATGAGGGCATGTGTTGGCCTGGGATGAATGGTTCTATTCGTGAGGTGTTCTTATAAAGGAACAAGGACAATCCGGTTTATCAAGGTAAGCAGGGGTCCCAAGTCGTTGATTTCAGGGTATTCCTGGAAACTTGGGAATACCCTTGGGAAGTATTCACAAAATAGACTACAGAAACAATGGCAACAGTTTATATATCTAGGTACATTAACAAAATAGATCATGTCAATTAAGATTCTTCTTACCCGTTATTAGGATTAACACACATGGATACTGGATTGTCAACGTTCCCTCCTTTGCTGGAGAGGATAACTTTACGATACGCAACATCCTCATACAACCGCATCACCTCAATTGTATGCATAGTTGGATTTCCCCAATACATGTTGTCTGCAAGCCAGTCAATGGCAATTGAAGATGGTGATCCAACATAGGCTGAAGGTGATACCGTGGTCGAATTCTCACCTGTGATCAGGGTACGTTTTATAACGCCCTGGTATAAAGAAAAATCTTTGTCATATGTGTGTGTACTTGCAGAAAAATATATCTAACAATTAATTAATTTACGATTTACTGTTGGCTATAACATTTGGAAAATCCTGAAAATCAAAATTAAATTACAACATTTAACAGCTCAATAATGATGATAAAGTAAGTTAACTATAAGATACTACGTTTTCAGTACCAAATCTGAGCTTACTTTACTTAACTACAATGCATCCTCCAATTCAAGAACACTCAAATTCCGAGACCCCTCCAATTCATCTTTTTCAAAATACCAAATAACAATCGTCATTATATTAACCTTGAAAACATCACAAATTTTCAGGTCCCAAAGGTGGTCTTGGAGGGCGAACTGCATACTAAAAAGTAAGCAACTGATAAAGTAACTTTTATTTTTTCAATATTTTTAGCTAAAACACGGACAGTATACTATATTTTTTAATGATAATGCCATAAATCTCTGCCTCTCAAACTGTAAGTCACTTTTCAAACTATGGGTTGCGACCCAAATTTGGGTCGCTTTGGGTCGTCTAAGCACTTCTGAGCTTTGCGAGACTGCTATGGTAAAACGCATTTCGAAACATAGTGCAAAATACTTCTACATAGTTGACTCAACTTAAGAGATACACCCAGACTTAGCTATGAAGGCAAAAGCTAGAAATTCATTGTCAACTCAAAACCTAGTATCTACTTTCATGGTTTCATGGTACTGTAGCCAACATTAAAGTTAGGCAGGAACATAGCTCACATTAAGACAACATACCAGTTAATAAATAAAACTTACATCTTGTTTAAAAAGATGAGTTGCTGCTTTTCATGTGAGGGGGTGGAGACATACATCAATTTTCAATTATTATTTACCCACTCAACCTCACCCAAGTCGAACATTTGTCATTGTTTTGTTAAATATTGAACATTTCAAAATTACTAGTGTAGTAAATCTTTTCCAAACTATTAAATGGAACATTCTGCAAAAGAATGACAATAACAAATACCTATACATTGCTGACTTAAAAAAAAAACCAAACGATTTATCACAGCTACTTAGTATTAGACTTAGCTAAGGTTGACTGTAGAAATACAACAGTATATCTCTATTTGATAAGGAGGCACATCCTATGGCTATTAAATTATACTAGCATAATTTTGCAGATTTCAGAGCAGCTTATTCCAAATTATTGTGGTGTCAAAATAAGAGTAGTGCTTTCCAAGTGAGCCATTTCTTTGAGCATTTACACTATTTATGGCACAGAGAACTATACATTTAACTTACCAAACCATTACCATCACTGTCCCTTTGATCAACCCAATACAGATAGCCCTTTTCTACATCAAAATCAACGTCAACTGCATTTGAGGCTCCCAAAACTGGAATGATGGACGTGTAGGTTTTATCCGTGGGATCCAGACTAATTCCATCGACATATAAACCCAATGCCAGCAACAAGAATGGATCACCCACTGTATAGAAGAAAAAATGACTCAAGCATATCATGGATGAATTTTTTTTAAATGTTAATGATTGTTGTAAAATATACTTTGATGAAATCAGTTTTGAAAATCAAGTGCTTGAGATGTATAAGTTAATAATGATGAGTATAACAAAATATTGAGATGATGATGATGATGATAATGACGATGATGATGATGAATAAGTCATTTCATAGTCAATCAACATAAACCTATGCTGAGCGTTGGTGATATACGAAATAGCTTATAGCACTGATGAGAAAGGCGATAATGATGAGGATGTTGATAAAGAGGAGGGGGATGATGATGATGATGTTGAGGTGATTGTGGTGACAGTGGTGGTGGAGTTGGTGATGAAGACTGTTAGATTAGTATGCTATAGAGGGCGTGTTGTAGAGCATGACTTGCACCCATGGAAACGTGTGATTTTGAAGTTTAATAAACTCATTGTTATCGTTGTTTATATACGTTTGACGTTGTCATCTTTACAATCAGTGTTCAAGAAACATAACAAAGACGAAGAAGAAAATAAAGGTGAATGTAAATATTATGATGAAAATGACGATAATGATAATCAGAATGATGAATGATAAATGACAAATGATGATAAAGATGTTCGTAATCCTGAAAAAAATTTGGTTAATTATTATAAAGCCAATCATCAAGCCATATTAATGATTTCAGCTTTTACTCACTTCCACAGGTTAAGCTGTCACTCTGAAGTTTCAATCCAGGTGGGCAGAGACAGGTGTAACCATTATCGTTTCTGGCCAACACACATATGAATGAACATGGATTGTCAGCACATGGGTTAGGGGCTGAAAAAGATTTTGTTCAACAGGGATAAAAACTATAAATAATGTATATTGAAACAAAATATGTAAATCACATGATGAGAATATTTACTTACCAAAGATCCAAATTGAAATTTAGTTTTCTTAAATAATATATTATGCCAAGAAAATACAAAAACAAATTCAAGACAAAGGAAAATCATAGATAAATATAACAACAAAAGATTTATATTTGTCATTGGCATGTTAACAAACCAACAGAGATACTTGTAACATTAAATTAATGAATCAATCTGGCTTGAAATGATACAAAGTACATAAAATAATATATAGACTATTATACTGAGTACTATAAACAAGACTAGGTCAATGTTAATGCCTTTAATGGTAACGGTAATGACCATCTCCACACTGTTATGTTTTATGCGAGACAACAAGAATTGTGATTTGCCAATACATGTAGTTATGATGTCATATCACTCCATATATGGGCATGATGTTATATCACTTAAGTTCTCTATCATTCAATCTGTTATTTAATCAACCAATCAGTAACAAAAAATACATTAACATGACTTATGTAGTTGTGATATAAATATACTAAATATAAGCATAATAAAATAATAATAATACAACAGAATTTTCATTAATAAACATTCTTATCTTGGACGATAGTAAAGAGATCAATACTCTCATCATCAATTTTCGCTATAAAAATTATGGGTAAACTTTTTTGAATACACTAATTTCTAATATTTAAGTTCATGACTTTTATCATACTTCAAAATGAGTAAGTTAATTTAAAAAATTATTGTTTTCATTTTTGGGTATTTTGCATGGGACATTTTGAATTGAAGTAAAAAACTTGAAAAAAAAAAAACATACTCATAAAAATAATCATTAAAGTGGCAGACAAACCACCAAATACATTAATTATGATATAATTTTGATGCATTCAGATTATATTAAAAAGAAAACATAAAAAAGTTATGTATTAATAATGTGCAATAAAATTAGGTTAATAAATTATTTTAAATGACAAAAATCAACAGTGATGTTGGTAATCATGAGTAAGATACTTACCTAGATAAACAGATATATGCTAATATTGTCTCCAAAAACACCCCTAAAAAAAACACAGGATCATCCATCCCAGTGCCCAGTATAAGAACAACCTATACCACACACACCCTTTTCATAATGTAGAGTATACTTACACAGTGCCCTGGGCTCAGGCTCATAACCAAGGTGTTTCTGTGATTTGGCTGAACCCATTTTTGAGTAAACCCTAGACCAAGATTCTTTCCCTGGATTCCACAATGGCACCTAAATATACTCTGGATCCTTTGCCTCTCATAGAAAACCTCCCCTCCCTCTCTAAATAAATCATGGTTATGGGCCTGGGAATGGATGGTTTATTTTTTAAGGTTGTTAGTTTTGGAGAGAACATTAGGATTACTGTAGTTAATCTGTGATATGTACTGACTAAATAGACTAAAGTATATGGTTTTTGCTCTTATGAACTATGTGTCACTAAAACGTACCCATTGGTTGCCGAACAGAATGGTAGGCGTGGATGTCAAGAGGCATTCTTAGACCGGTAAGAGTCGGCCGAACATCGGAACTATTAAATTTGTGAACTTGTAAAACTTCATTGTTTAGGCGATCAGTCCAATACAAGTAATCTTCAAACAACGTAAGTGAATGAATGTGTCGCAAATGCTAAAATTCAGACGTGTTAATGCAAAAAGAAAAATATAAATGAAAGAAAATGGTTAAATATTAGTTAATATAAAATAAAAAGTAAAAAGAATTGGCAAAATAATGTTAGAAACACAATATTTTCAAAGAAACAACTCGGATAAAATTCTGTGTATGGTCCTCGATGTTGAACAATGAAATATGACTAGATGCCTGGGGAACTGTGCAGGCTGCAGTACGGTGTCAATCATAGTCAGTAGACCAGGGACAATCCTCTTTCCCCCTCCCCCCCCCAATCTTTGAACAGTGTACCAATTTTGTTCATGCACATTAAGCACACAGGACCAATGCATTATTCTTATTCTTTCTTTTTTATTGTCGAGACAAGAAAGTACAATTCAATTCCCTGGATGGTCGGACAGGATTTCAGAAACTCCAAAGAAATACTTAGAGAATTACAGAGCATTATTTAAATATCCACCATGCAAGTCATTTTCTGAGCTTTAGAAGGCAAAATTTGCATTGAAAATGTTACATAAGCAGATTTTGCTAGGCAGTTTCTTTGTAAAGCTTGTAGCTGAATTCCAAAGTGTACAGCAGGTTTTCAAACAGAATTATTGGATTTAGAATTTGAAAAAAAGGCAATATAATTAAACATCCATCTGGTATACATTTGTTAACAGTCAAGAAACTTTTAGAATCTGAATACAGAATTTAGAATTAGATTAGTAATATTTAAATGCACTAACATAGGAAGCACAAGTAACAGTAAAACAATAAGCATCAAAATTAAAATTAATGTTCTTGCAAAATCTTATATAAAACTAATAATAATAATAATTATTATTATTATTATGTGCAGGCTGTAGTACGGTGTCAATCATAGTAATCAGTCAAATTTAAGTAATGGCAGGTGTTAGATGAAACTTTATTACATCTTTAAATAACACAGTTCGGCCTCAAATTCAAGACCAACTGTGGGACCTAAAATTGTGGGGTTCGGTCTTCAAATAGATGGATAGCTTTGTGTTTAAAGATTGATTGTAGGTAGGCAAAGTGGTCTTGCTTTTTGAATTGTAGGGCAAACTGTGTATACAGTTTACATTTTTCAATCTAAAAAGCACCGCAGACACCATGGGGCTGAGGTTGTACTCTCCATCTGTAAAATTTACTTTCTATACAGACATCCCTCTAGTTGAGTCCCTGAATTCTACCACTGGTCAATTATCATTAAGCCTGGTGAAAATCGCTACACTGTCACTAGAGTTTTTTTCGGTGCAATTGTAGTACTTCGTAGCAGTCCCCGATGAAATCGGGAAGGCTCCCAAATTCGACCGACCGACCAATCAGCCGAAAGCTGTCGGCGGTAGTATGTAGCGATTGTATGGAAACAAAGCTTTAGTCAACAACTGATACAAGGCTGTCTCACTGACCATTGGCTACAGCTTTGACTGGTTTAAGTTAGTCGAATTTAGACTACATTGAGTTAAACCCTATCCAGACTATCAAATTTTATTTGACAAAAAAATGTGAGATAGCTAAATATGGTCATGATAACATCACATCATGACCATATATAGACTCATCGTGACTATATAATGTTTGTACAAATTCAGCTGTAACTAGAAAAAAAACATTCACTTAAGAAAACCACAACATATCTGATAATAACATAAATGAACTAATTTTCTCTAATTTCACTAACCGTGGCAAAGACAAGTCGAACCAGTCACTCGTCGCATAATTCGATTTTTGAGTTATTAACACAGAGTTTAAAGGTAAAATGTGAGCTATAAAATGGTAAAAAAAATTATTCAAATCCGAGATTTCCTTATGAAGTTAGGAGCGTTTAAACATACAGCTTTTTAAAGAACAATATATGAGAAATCAGCCTTCAAAGTGTAAGATTTCGGGCATTTCTCATGCAGAAACTATCATTAAATCTTTAGAAAGTGTTGTTTTAACATTGAAAATGAAGAAAATAACAGCATAGCATGATGTATAGATATATAAAAGTTAGTTTAGTGAAATAAAATAGATTTTTAAAAAAATTTGACATTTCAGCATGTTTTTGCCATTTTCTCTGAAACAATTTGCAACAAGTGATTGGTTTGGCTTGTCTTTGCCACAATTTCTATTTCAGTAGCTACAGTGGCGTATTTAGGGGGGTGCACAGGGCCCCATCAGCACTCCCATTTCAAGATTCCTAGATACGCCACTGAGTAGCTAGCTATGCAAAAGGTTTCAAAATAATATAACAGCAGCAACACATAGTAACCAGGCAAAACCATAGTAACCAAATAGCAACAAGAACAATAACCAAATAGCAACAAGAACAATAACCAAATAGCAACAAGAGCAATTGAAACATATTTTTTTTTTTTTTTTATATTTGCTTCTCTTTTTATTGGTCGAGGACCCCTATGGAAACAAGCTCATAGAGCTTATAGGGTTATCCTCTTGCTCTCATTTCTTTTTTTTTTTGATATTATAATAATGAGGGCAATAAATAATAAACAAACAAAGAAACAAAAAACACCAAAAATCACCATGCCAACAACAGCCTATTAACCATATAAACCTAGCAACAGTAACAGTAAAAAATTCTGTAACAATTCAAAAGTAACAATTTAGCAAGATAGCATTGCAAAAGCAATATCAAAATATTCTTTTTACCTCTTCTGTTGTGTCTGAGAGCTTAAAATAAATTAATATAAAAACAACAATCATTAACAATCTATTAAATAGAACATTAGATACATAATAAAAACCATTTCATATACTTGGATCTGAACCGAAATTTGAGCTGCATTTCCAGCATTCCTATTCTTATATACAGATCTGACTTTCTGATCTGTTTGCTAAACTTTCAATTCCGAAAATTTGGATTTGGTGTGAATGCACCTTTACAGTCTCACTATTATAGTCATTGATAATGACCCATCATACGGCATGCTGTTGCCAACAACTTGTGGCAGGCTTTAGTCGTACTGAGCAAAATTTAGAAAGCGGACATACCTGGGTGCTGACAAGTAACTGTTTTCGTCCATTTCCATCATAATCGCAGTAGTCGATAAAATCCAATCTGCTGTCTGCAAAGTAGATCCTTGAGTTTGGATAGTCAATCGTGATGGCATTAGGCCAGTAGAGTTTGTCTGTCACTATTTGTATACGTTCTGTACCGTCCATCGCCATACGTTCTATGCGTGGATTAGTACCCCAGTCAGTCCAAAATATATAACGGAATCTACAAAACAATTTCATTTGTATCATTGTTATTAGAGTTTTCTGTGTCTCTTAAAACCTGAAAAAAATCCCACTACCCCCACAAAAATGTTCATATAGTATATCAACTTCAAATCTGACATAGATTTTAAAAAAAAGAAAAGAAAAAAAAAAAAAAACACCTCAGTTTTCAATGTTTAACAGCAGGGCCAGATTAACATAAGGGATTTTGGGGCAGCAGCCCCGAGCCCACAGGCTCCTAATGGGGAAAAATAGGCCCACAACCCCAGGAAAATCCCCGAAAACCTGGTTTATGTTTTAGCCACAGAGTATTTAGGCCCACTTGCAATTACAACCCCAGGCCCCACAGCCCTTTAATCCGGCCTTGTTTAACAGACTTTTTAATATTGAACTATTATCAATCAGCCAATTTGACGATGATGCAGTCTCCCATCACTTGTGATATATGAGTGTTTCAGAGGTCACAAGTCTTCCGCAAGTTGGGCCTGCACTCAAGCAAGAATCTTCCGGAAAATAACCTACCTCCCGCAAATTCATAATACAGTACATGCATGTTTTTACTACCAATACTTTATTATTATTATTATTATATCTATAATTGTCTCAGCACCGATGGGTATCACCATGCTGCCAAATAAAATGAAAGAAGTTCATTTAACGATCTTTCAAAAGGGACTTCTTCTATCTTTTGGGACCTTTGGTGTGTAATATCCTATCTGAGCACATAAAGACATGATTAGTATTAGCAAAAAACACAAGCCTTCCAGAGCTCTTTATATTACACCGCCAGGTAAGTAAACAATATGAAAAATAGTGATTTTAGAATCAATGATTATACTTTACCCTTGGTGATCTACTTACGGGGGTCGAGGGTCAAGAGCAATTCCACGTGGGTTTGTTAAGTTTGTGCTTATAAGGATAGCACGATGCTGCCCATCAAGACGAGCGACCTCCATAACCCTTAATGAATAATCTAACCAATAAATATTGCGCCCAATCCAATCCACAGCAATTCCTTCCGTAAGAAACATACCAGCCTCTAAAAACTAAAAAAAAAAAAATTTATTTTAATATGTCTGTGGGTGTTTTTAAAAATTTTTATGATCAAAATTTATTACTATCAGTACTATCTTGCAAACAAGAATGAAAATGTCAGCTAATCTAAAATGATGACATGTATTTACTTTTATTGCTAGATGTGTCATTAAAGGCCAATACTCACTTAACATAAATACATGAGAAAAAATACTATGCTATTGGGATTGTGGCGTCACGCCACGAATGCCAAGTGACCAGCACACCGTAAACTATGCATCCAGGGGTAGGGACTTAACTACAATAACGATGACATGCATACTGCTATCCTAACCAAACTATGGATGTTAGTCAACTGAGGTGCAAGTGACCCACATACCCCTATCATAACCAAACTATGCATCTAGATGTAGGAATGCCACTTCACAAAGTTCCTAGTAACCAGCATACTCCTCGTCCTATACCAATTGAACTATTGCAACTCGAGGTAAGTTATGCCACTGAGGTCATAGTGACCCACATAACCCTACCCTAACCCTGTGAATATATCTGCTTTTAAAATTTTGTAGTTAAGAACTAAACCACTTTGGAAACCAGTACTATGTATTGATAGTGTATATTCAGTATAAAGAAAGAATAAAAATAAAATAAAATAATAACCAAACTATGCATCGAGAGGTATCTGTATGGTCTCATGCAAATACCATTTGAGGTTGTTGTCACACGTAGGTTGGGGTCAGGTGTGTAGCAGTTAAATTAGGAAGTGGGCGGTAGGGATGTCAGGCCCTAATAACCAGCATACTCCTACCCCAATTGACCTAATACAACCTGAAATAGGTTACTACACTGAGGTTCTAGTGACCCACATAAGCCTACCCCAACCAAACTATGCATCGAGGGTAGGGATGTCGCGTCCTAATAACAGGCATACTCCTACCCCAATTAACCTAATACAACCTGAAATAGGTTACTCCACTGACGTCCTTGCAACCCACACACCCCTACCCTAACCCAACTATGCATAATACAGTCAGCAACAGCTTTATTGACATACCTAGATTATCTATTATAAAATAAACATCAAAAAAATCTTACGACTGTGGGATCAGAACCATCAAGATTACAACTGAAAATCTTAGAAACATCACTATCTGTGTAATAGAGTCTTGCTGTCTGATAATCAAAGTCTGTGGCAACGATGTTGGTTTGATCATTAACAATAACTCCAGCAGTGTCTTGATGTATGTTCATTCTAATAAGTTGATTACGATTGGAGATTATCAGATATGCATCAGATGAATCTAGAAATAAACCAACAGAGAATATTAAACAATATGTAAAACATTGGTTTCAGAAGCCTGCTGCATATAAGAGGAATGCTCTTGTAACGATCAAATTTTTCATTGTGAATCAAAAACAATTCATAAATGATATCCATTGCTTAATACATTTTATTATTTTGCCAAATCATTAATATCATTTAAGTTGATTTTCTTTATTTTACCACATACTTTGAGCCTTGCATGTTCGTCCATCTGGGTTCAGGATGTATGTACTTTCACACTGGCAGTCAAAAGACCCCTTGTAGTTGGTACAATTCTGGCTACAATGACCAAGAGGCATACACTCGTCAATATCTAGAAATAAGTATATAAATACATAAACAATAGGAAGATACATAAATAAATGGAAAATAAATATATTGTTAAGCTCTGTAACCCCCTTATGTATGGTATTGATGACATCACATCATGACCATATATAGACACTTCATGACTATATATGGACATACAGCAGTTTTTTTGCCAGAAAGAAAATAAAATGTAGACAGATGGACATGATAACTACACACATAACTAGAGGAAAAGAAATAAAGAAGAGATAGATAGCTATACGACAGGTAGGTAGGTAGGTAGGTAGGTAGGTGGGCGGGTGGGTGAGTAGGTAGGTAGGTAGGTAGATAATTAGATAGAGGAGGAAGAGAGAGACAGAGAAAAAATGGTTAGACGAGACTGTTTTTATACCTTGTTTAGCAACAGTGATTTCAAATAAATATAAAATTTTATTTTAGGCCAATTAGCACATTAGCCCCAACAAAAAATATAAATATCTGGGAAAAAAAATGTTTTTCTTTCCTTTAAAAAAATAAGTAAAAATTAGCGAAACAAGGTATAAACAGTCTTGGCTTAGGCAAACAGAAAAAACTGAATGTAATTAAGGTGGGAAGGCAGAAAATGATAAAAGTATAAATATAATGCTCAAAACAAATTTAACATAAATTTATCTTTGTTCAAATATTTTGTTTAAATAAAGGATTAGTGTAATGTTATTACCTTCACATATTGTTGAGTTGACCAATTCATAGCCCTCGCTGCATCCGCACTGTGCTCCAAATGGTGTCTGAAAGCAGAGCTCACTACATCCTCCATTGTTTGTACTACAACTCTGCTCATCTTAATAAAAAAAAAACGTAGTACAATCACTCCTGACTTCTTATAAAAATATGACATATGTAGAGTGGACCTGTGGTTAATGGACCCTTCTGGTGTGTCAATCAAACTTTACAAAAATTATAT